CACTCGGCACACCGTGGGTGCTCAGTAATCACAATACAGCCAACACTGGAGTCCTCAGCAGACGGTAAGCTCTTTTGAGGATAGCACAGTGTCTTATTTACCTCTGTATCTGTCCTGCGCAGTTGCTAGCACTGAGCGTGGAATAATAACAGAGACACAATAGTGTATGTGTGCGTGTGTGTGTGTGCGCACATGTGTGTAATTGGAAGGTGAGACTGGGGGAGCAAGAGGGGCAAAAAGAGTGAGATAAAGATGTTACTAATTCCATAAGTAGCTTGAAGTCTAAAGATGTTATAATCTCCGCTCAGAGTCTTTTGGGGGAAACATCTCCTTTAACACACACTAGTCAGTATATCAGAACCAGGCTAAACTCTGCTTAGTCTAGACCCCAGGTCGGGGAAATCAAGCCTGGATATACTTTCCTCAAGAAATATTGGTAGGTTACAAAGAAACAAAATCAGAACAGTTGGTTCCAAAATGCAATTCAGGCGGAGTCCTATCTAGACACTGCCAATTTTCAATCGCTTCCAGCGTCTTAAACACCATGCCCAAATCTTCTATCCAACTCACTCACCAAACACTTCTGCTTCCTAGTCACTGGGGTTCAAAACTCCATCGTTGGACCCTCCTTTATCCTGTGCCTCTCTCCCCTTCCCCTTCTACTCAGTCTCCGAGATCACAGACTCAGTGTTCTCCTATGCGCGCCGGTACCCAACTCACTTCTTCCCTACCAAGCCCCCTTGCCAGTCTCTTTGCCTGCTCTTGTCTTTCCCCAGTCATCTACGCACCACTGTTGCTTTCATTTTTTTCTAATTGCAGGTCTAAGTCTATCATCCACCTGCTAGAAGCTGCTCAGTGGGGCCCCATTGCCTGCTGGTGTACATACTCCTTTACCTCGAACTCATGGGCTTTGATCATATAACGCCATCGACTGATTTAGGTTTTATTCCCTCCTCCCATCCCACATGACACTTCACACTGTGCGCCCCAACCCAAGTGCTCCGTTCATGGTCCCGTGTCTCACCTGCTCTTCCGTCCTTCCAGGCCTTTATGCACCACTGTGCCCTTCGGCTGGAGCCTCCTCTCCCTTCCCTGCCTCTCAATTCACAGAAGCTCATTGCCCTTTGCTAGCCAAAGCCAAAGACACATCATTGAGGGTGGTGAGCATCTTTCAATTTCTTTTCTCCAAAGACACATTGTCTAAGACGTTATGCTCATCAGCTGTGGGGCACAGCAATAGTTTCGTCATTACCTGCCAGATACGGTTTTTATGTCTGCTTCACCAGTGGCTTGTCTGCCAAATGTGAACTTCATCTTTCTTGGGCATAGCTCTGTCTCAGCCTTACTTGTTGACCTGGTGGTCTGTGCCGGTCACTTTTGATGAGGGCCAGCGCTGAAGAAACTGGCCTAGCTGTGGACGGGCTCCACGGAAGGAGAGGCAGCTGAGGAGGGAGGGGCAGAGCTGGCCGCCAGGGCCAAGGGCACGGAGGTGGGGTGGGAGGAACAACTGTGTCCAGGTGCCAGGTGCTCATTCCTTTGAAGCCCTTTAGATACACCTGCTATTCCTCAAATGCCTTCAGTAAAATGACTAGGTCGAATTACTTTCCTCCCCAAGAGGATCATAATAGATCTCAGCAGAAGCTTTTGGACTCAGCCCAATAGAGAATGGACATTTTTCATATTTAGTCAATATGTTCACTTCTGACTCGTCATAGGCTCCCCTGTGATAGAATGGGCATTACCATCATCCTATTGACAACTGAGAAAATCGTTTCATCCATTTCTGCGTTTCGCAGACTCTGGGGCACTCCCAGCCTGGGATCCAGTAATCCCATCTGCTTTAAATAGATGATAAGTAGGTTACTTATTCTGGAAGTCTTTAACTCCTATCCTAAGTAGTGGATGCCATTTCTCGCCAGTCTATTTATGCCAGCTAACCCTCAGAAATGGTTCAAGAGGGACTCAGAATAGGGTCTCCCCTGTATCCAGAATTTTCCCTAAAGTACAGACCCCATAGTTTGCTATGCAATCCCTTTAGAACTCTATGACAGCTTTCTCCTTAACGAGGTCTAGGTCTTCAATGTTTTGTCTGAGGACTACAAAGAATATAGGTGTACTAGTCCGTGACTATTTGCTGCTGCAGTTTTTCATTTCACCAAGGAAAACTTGAGAGTAGCCTACAGCCATTGCAGAGTAGAACAGTCTTTCTCGTAACTGCAGTATCACAAGGGGACTTCGATTTCAAATGAAACTTTCAGAATTGACAAGCAGCTGTTAATGCTTCTTCAAAGATAGAATCATAACTTAATTCAGTTAACTTTTTAAAAATTCCAATAAGTTCCTAGCACTCCTCTAGACACTGCGGGGAGGGGCAAAGGTAATGTTGGGAAAATGAGAAAATAAAAAAAAACAGGGTCATTGCCCTCAAAGAAGTTACAGGAAATTCCTGTTATTAGTGGGAATTTATTCTATAAAGTTGTGAACACTGAATTAAGTGAATACTAAACTATTCCTCCTGGGGGAATACAGGGTTAGGCTCCTGTGAGCCTCTGTTCACAAAATTTTTGTCAATTTATCAATTCATAACCTTGTTTTAATGTGTGTTTCTTTTTACAGACACCTTATTTAATAGATATTATTGAATAACGTTGTGCTCATGGCCAACAGCACTATAACTCACGGCTGCACAGAACTTACTCACACGTGCACTTTCTCTGTGGGGCATGCTAAAGTCCTCTTGTACTTAGGAGCACTACCCTTGGGGGCCATTTTAAACAGCAATATCATCAACAAAAAGCACAAAAGTGCAAAAAAAAAGTGCCACGAAAAGGATGCTTGTTTACAGTTTGAAAGTTGAAACAAGGAAGCAGAGCTTTGCCTTGTTTGACATCAGCTGGGAGCATGCGCGTGGGGTGATTGAACTTTTTCCCCACTCTGCCCATGTCTGAGGCTGCCCATGAAAACACCCCAAGTTTTGATTTGGGGCTTACATCAATTCAGCAAGGGGACCAATTCACAATTATGAAATTCATGAATAATGAGGACTAATTATGTATTTTAAAAGGCATGTTAACAACAAGTTATAAAATTTATAAATAGAATTGGGGCAAAATGAAATATTATAACCTAGACCAGCTACATAATTGCCCAATGCAAAAATGAAAATGCAAGGACCCTTGATGGAAAAGACAATAGCAGAGCATGAAACCAAGTGTGGGGCCTTGGGGAGTGAGGGCACTTTGTCATGCTGCAGGGTTCCCATGCCCACGAAGCTGACCCTGACCCTAACACTTAGATTGTGCAACCTGGGGAGGCAGGTTTTGGGACTGGATCAAGAGGGATTTTACAGAGGTGTTATCATTTGAATAAAGCCTTGGATGTCTTGAGAAAGCAGCTCGAATGAGTGGCTGAACACCACGAAGCCACACAATGCCTGCCACATTCACAGTGAGCAGGCTGGGTGTGCGCTCTGGAGTCCACGGGACAAAGGTTGGGTAACACTTACCGACCTGACCGTGCGCCAGGCGCGGGGATGAATGTTCAATGTGCATTCTCTCATTTAATCATAGCTGTATGGGGGGCAATGCCATCATAGCCCCCATTTCACAGTTGAGGAGATGGAGGCTAAATGACCTGTCTGATGCCGTACAGCACGGGGCAGAGAAAGGGCGCTGAATCTGGACCAGACCATATCTCCCTGTTTAGTATGAAACACACACTGCCCTACTTTGTCACAGAGCCAACCTAGGTCGCCTCACCGTCGACGGGGCTGGGTAAGCAGACACGGGGATCCCAGAGAGGATGGCCCGAGCCCGAGAGGGCACCTCCGTCCCTGACCTGCTCCCCAATCCTACTGGTTCACGATGAAGGAAATACAGTCATGCAATTCAGACATGGCCAGGAACCTTACGTCTGTCAAGCCCCTTGGAGTTTACAACCTGCTTCCACGTTTGTTGCTTCGTAGGAATTCAGTTCCATGAATTCCTTACTCAAAACTCCGGGGGAGGATGAGTGACTCGTCCAAGGGCAGACAGGCAGGCGAGGGGTGAGGGCTGGATCTGGAGCCCAGACCTCCCAGCCCCAGCTCAGGATTCCTCTGGCTCGGGCCCTGGGTCTTCACCCTGGACCATTCGGGGGCCGCGGTACAGAAATGCACCGGGTCCAGAACCGTGTGGGGTCTCAGTCTCCCCCTGCCCAAAGCCCCTTCCTGATACGGGTCGTGTGTTCAGGTTTTCTTAGCAAATAAATGCATCCTCCCTTCGATTTCGGTCCTTCAGGAGCGGGACAGGAGCACAGAGTGTTCGGTAGCATAATTAATACTGGGAATCTGCTGGCAGTTGAGGCTCCGTTTGCAGAGTGTTCAGCCGAGGGGGCTTTCCAGCTTCTCAGAACAGGTTAATTAAGCAAAGTTGCTGGAGGGGGTCGGCTTGCTATGGGGGCGGGAGGACAGAGCGGCGTTTCAAGATGCACAGGCCGACTGGCATCCTTGCCCAGCTCCGGGAGGCGCTTTGGATGGGAGAGAGGAGCCTTTCCTTGCCTCTCGCCGGCTTGGCGCTGCTCACCTGCCTCTGTCTCGCAGCCGCGCCCGTGGGCCTTCTGCCCTCCAGCAGGCGTGGGGGACCAAGGGCTCTTTCTCCCTCCAGCAGCGGCAAAGGGAGGAGGGCAAGGTCCTTTCTATTCCACGCCGAGCCGAGCCCTAGGGGGAGGAGGGAGGGAATAAAAAGAGGCGCTGGCTCAGTTTCCCAGAATGAATGGTTAGCGTCTGCCGAGGCTATTTGCACTGTAAACGAAATTAAACAACAAAAAGCAGGGATGAAGCAAAACAACCCAAATGATCAAAAAACATTCTGGTGGTGGGTGTAAAACTTGCTTCCTCTCAGCAGCAGAGGGCCAAGTCTGCGCACCCGTTGGAGAGCGGCGCGCTGAGCGCGGTACCTGTGCAGCGCGGCTCGCGCACACGCGCGCGCGCGTCAGAGGAGCGTGCGGTTCGCTGGCCTAGAAGCCGGCACGTCTGCACGGTTAAGCGGGACATTTCACACGTGCACGAGGGGTCTGAATCTCAAATGTGAGCCGCTGGAGATCTGTGAGAACTATCAAAAGGGGTGAGTGGAAATTCAGCGATCTAATTCCGTGAAGCAAGGGATAATCCTGTGGTGGCTAACCGTCCTTCTGTCTCAGCAAGACATTTTGTGGTAGACTCATTCTATGGAAAGTTTTGTCTACAGTTTTCCATCTGCTGTGATAATCGTTATTAGTCCAACTGCTGTTATGCCATCTTGGGCTGTGATTTCGTCAACTCCTCAGTGCTAAGTAGGGTCGGTCCCAGGGACGCAAGACGTACCTGAGGGGCTCAGGCGGTGCACACTCCTCGCGTCACGGGAGAGGTCTCTGGGCTGTTAAGTTGCATTTCCTAGAAGGAGCATAAAATGGGGACTGCAGGCCGGGCGCTGTGGCTCACGCCTGTAATCCTAGCTCTTGGGAGGCCGAGGCGGGCGGATTGCTCAAGGTCAGGAGTTCAAAACCAGCCTGAGCAAGAGCGAGACCCCGTCTCTACTATAAATAGAAAGAAATCAATTGGCCAACTGATATATATATAAAAAATTAGCCGGGCATGGTGGCACATGCCTGTAGTCCCAGCTACCAGGGAGGCTGAGGCAGAAGGATCGCTCGAGCCCAGGAGTTTGAGGTTGCTGTGAGCTAGGCTGACGCCACGGCACTCACTCTAGCCTGGGCAACAAAAGCGAGACTCTGTCTCAAAAAAAAAAAAAAAAAAAAATGGGGACTGCAAACATCTATATTTTCTGAGGCTCACCCAGCAGATTTCTCTGAGATCCTGCCTGAGGTGGGAAGTCGGTTTCCTGTCCCACACGTACCCACACTCGGTTCACACAAGTCTCCGATGTCATCAGAAAACTTCCTGTTCACTGTGTGCCCCTCAACTCTGGGTTTCCTGGCCCTTGTGGACAACCTGCATGCTAAACTCCATTCTCAAGGGGCCGCACCTCAGTGGGGAGAGGGGACCCCCAGATCCTTAGGAAGTTAAGTTGCTAACTCAAGGATGTCATCAACTCAGGAGGCCCCTGAATTGGTGGTCCATGAAATTTAGTGCCCCAGAGTTTTTTGTTGCTGTTGTTTGTTTATTCACTTTGTCTTTGTATTATTTTTAGAAAGTCATTTAAGACTAAACAATGTTTTAAAAATAATTGAAGAATTTTATGCCCTGGCTGAGTTCATTGGCTACATGTGGAATTACTTTCAACTAGAACCCCAGTGTTGGGAGACAGAAAACACAAGGTAGTAGTGGATTTCCATTTTATGATTATGGCAATGGCAGAAAATTTTACAAACATGACTTTGTGCCTAAATACACTATCATTCATCACATTGGAGACATCAAGGAAACTTAATTAACTGTAGCCCACCTCTCTGGAATCTTCAATGGGTCAAATTTCCCCTCCCTTGCTGGCCTGCCTAATACATCTCCTAATACATCCCACTTTAAAGGCGGAGACTATTGAACGCTAGAAAATAAACTTATGATAGCAATAGGGGATATATATTTAGATACCTAGGTTACCCTTCCTATGGTGTTTCCTCGTAGTACCTCAAGTCTTCTGAGTTTCGTTCACCTCAGAGCTTTATGTTAGTGCCATAGTCACTCTTTTCTTTGTTTGAAGGGTTATTTTTTTTTCATATTTCTTGATTTCCATTTTACATATTTTTTTCCGAACAAGCCAGGGACCACTCATGAAGAAAGCAGGTACTATTGGATGGCCTATTGTCTACTCCTTGGCACTGCACTGGCCTCATTTCACTATTTCAAACTTTTTTCCTCTTTGCATCCCCACTACCTTTATTTATGTTACTCCTTTTTCCGTTTTCACTCTTTTTTGCTCCTAAATGTTTAACATAGCTGTTCTCAGCGAGGAAAATAGCCCCTCCAGGAAAGAGGAGGTTTGGCTTTCCAAGCTGCCAATTCAGCATGGCAGTTGGGGAGGCAACAGAGAAGCATACATTTAAAATTGCTGATAGGCATAGAAAAACCTTGTAGGGTGGTGGAAAACTGTGGAATCCATGAATTTTCCGGGGCCGAGTTCATTACTCACGGAACTTTGGCAGGTTGAAGCCTGCTCACCTCTCCCGGAGGATGAATGCTCCGGCTAATGGAATTCTTCTGTTTTCCTATGGCTCTGTTTTGTTATCTTTAGGCACCGAGTCAAGCGGCATGTGCCAGTGGGGGTGGCAGCTGCCCCTGCTGTCACTGTCCTGGCATGGCTCTGACCCTTCTCTCTGTATCAGCGTCAAGAGGATGCGTCACCCGCGGCACCCAGTGAAGCCTCCGCCCCACCTAGCAGAGCACCAGGTTGTCTCCAAATCCTCTCCCTTCACCATTAACCGTGAAATTCCCAGCACCGGAAAGGACGGCGAGAAGACCAAGGAATGGATGCATCTCTGCATCCTGATGGCTAGAATTTTCTTTTATTTGGAGGTTTTCTTTTGCTGACTCTAGTTTCAAATGCTAATGTTACTGTAACTAATTCCTGGCAGATGATGGATTTTTTTAAAGCACAATTAAATTAAGGCAGACTTTTCTTTTGGTAAACTATTTTTAGTAAAATGTATAGGATTAAAAAAAAAAAAACCCAACCCAACACTAATAACATGCTCGATCTGGATGTGAAAGCACATTGTTAGCTAAAAGCCCTTATACATATTTTATTAATACCGTTTAAGAAATGAACTGGCTTATTAGTCTAATAGAAATTTAACCTTGTATAAGTAAGTACCGAATACACAGCAAGGCAGCCTAAAAATCTAATTTATAGATACTCGAGTGAAATATTTTAAACTATTAAAAATGCTTATATGCCTGTAGACATACTATTTAATTTGCTTAAAATACTGTACAGGGAGGCACTGCATAAAAGGGCAGGAATGCCAGGATAGAGAATCTGAAACACCCAGGCTCAAAAAAACTCATAGAGTGAGCATCGCCAGTTTTCAAGTCAATTTTAAGTCATGTAAACAACCGTGCACCCGTTCCCCAGCCTATATGGTGTGGTTAGGAATTCAAGTGACTTAGCAAGGAGGAAAAAGCAGAAAGGCCTTCATCAGAGGTCAGCTTTAAAATGGAAAGAGTTTTATTCGCTGTGACCTGCCCCTCATGATATAAATGGTCCTCAAGTCTCCCTCTCTCTTCTCTTTTTCCACCGAAGAGAATTATGAGTGAGAAAATGCAACCCACTGGGAAGCAAATCCTCACTGCAAACCCGGTGGTTGGAATTCCTGACTTGATTGATTGCCCTGACTCTCTCTCTTCCCCTGGCAGGAGCATCCTCACCCCTGCCCAGGACCACAGAGCCATCTTCTCCGAGCTGCTCAGCAGACCCGCCATCCATTACCCCCTCCACTCAACAGCTGTTTCCTGCTTGCTCCATGCAACGTGAGGCTTTTTTAAGCCTTTATAAAAAAAAAAAAAAAAAAAAAAAAAGATGTTTATATAGTTTTCATGATTTCCTTTTGGGAGCTAACTAAACGACTGCTCTTCTTCCCTCCTCCCCCATGACTATATTTGACACCATCAAACCAAGAGTCTGGCTGTCCCAGGTTAACATCTCAGGGAAATGGACAGGTGAACCCGAGCCACAAAGGGCCGCAGCCCCATCAGCCTTCACCGTGGTGCCAGCTCCACGGCCGCCATCGCCACTGGAGCCACGCTGGAGGGCGAGAGTCACAAAGCCTGCATCTTTTCTGTGCTCTCGGCACCCGGGAACCACGCAGATAGCATCGGGCTCCAACTGGAAAACAGGCTGCTGCCTTCCTTTCCTTCCAGGCGATAACATAATGGGAACTGGAGGATTCTTACGAGGAAGATGAACAGCAGAAAGGCTGGTAGCTTTGCTATTTCCAGCAGACTGGACAGCCTACACGGAGGACCGTCAGAATGGGCAGACATGCACAGCCAAAATGGAAAGCTTTCCACATCCACGCTCAGTCTGCCCTTACAAATAAAAGCAATTCTCATTATCCTGTAGCTAGACCTTCCTATTTTATAAAGACTTCTTTCAATGCTTAGAAATCCTTCTTTCCACAATTTACCCAAAAGGTAAATAACTGTTATAATTGCCATTTTATGTCTGGGAAATTTAGAAGACAGAGGAATAAAATAAGTTTCTATTAGTCAGTCAGTCAGTCAGTGGTAGAATCTAAATTAGAACTCAATGTCTTTTGAGTTCTCAACTTTCATTTTGTCCATTGAGCCACACAAAAAATAATATTCAATAGACTAGAAAACATGCACTGCCGCACTGTAAATTCTACAATCTTATAAATCTTTCAGGCAATTCTTGAAACATCATAAACCATAAAGTCATATTTTGAGTGGTTTGCCATCAGACCTTCCAGGTGAGATATTTTCTTCATTTTTTTGTGGTTGCTTTTTCATATTTTGTAACCCAAAGTTATTATTTTAGTACTTTGAGGACTAATTTTTAATTTGTATTTGCCAAAAACCAGAATTATGACATGTGCAATACGTGTGGCTTTGGGAATGCCACATACACTTTTTTTTTTTTTTTTGTCTTTGGATAAGAGCTGTCAAAAATCAAATCCTAACCCTGCCTAGTTGACAAATAAATTTTATAGCTGTCTAAAGGTTTAAAGCAATACAGATTGTCTGAGCCAATAAGTTGATTTGGTGAGAGCGGGATGCTAATGAGTCTTTGATCCGTGCAGAGGCCAGTGAGCCCGTAGCACAGCCTCAGCCTGCACCCCTCACCCCGCCAGCTGTCTCGCAAATGCCGCCATTGGTCACAGAGGGGACCGGGCAAGCTGGGAGTGGGGATGGATCAGTGCAAATCCATCATCTCTCCAAACGCATCACTCAAGTGCCGGTCCTCCACATGACAAACCAGCAGCGTTCCCTTTCTGCGCGGAGACGGCACGCTGCAATGCAGAAATGTTCCTTAGAAATAAATATTGGTGTTGGCTTTTAAAGGAGACCTTTTTATTTACTTATTTTTTCTTGTGCTGAAAATAAATGTCGACTGGTATCTATTTCGTGACGCAGGCTTTTGAAAGATAGCGTGTATGGTGGCGTTGGGGGTGGGAAGGAGGAAGCCTCAAGTCCTCAGGACAACTGGCCGGGTCCTGGGGACTGGCCACGAGGGCAGGCGATGTCAGGCGCGCAGTGGCGGCCCGGAGCAGCTGGGCTTCAGCGGGGAGGCCGCGGCAGCCCGCAGCAGCAGCTGCACAAACGCCAGAGGTCAGGCCGTGTTTGTGGACGCTGACTTCCCCCCAGGCACCCCTGGATGGTAGGGCACATCAAAGCCCCGCACCCAGGAATAACACCCGGGGGGGTTTCTGTGTATAAACCCGTCTCCAAGACGCTGACCCAGCAGAGACAGGTCTGTTAGCTCCAAGCCCTGGGAGGATGGAGTCACCTTCCTTCTGCACTTGCTATTTCTGGAAGTAGGTTGTATGAGGGAGGAAGGAAATTATCCACATGCCAATTCTATGGAGAAGGTAAAATTAAAAACAATTTTCCTTTGCTTTCTATCAACTTTCTTTTTCTGATTAAAATGCCTTTCAATAGTAAGCAGACTCAGGTTAAGCACCTGCAATAAGCCGGGCGCTGAGAATGAGGGGTGATGACACGGACTCTCAGGTTGGGTTGGGCCATAAAGCGTTTCCGTATGGGCTCCATATATACCCTTTTTTAAATTATCTATTTGAGGTTGTAGAATATCTTTTCAGACAAAGGCCTATTATGCGAAAAACTAATTTAAAAAGAGAAGGGAAAACATAGTCTCTAAGGTCCAGGAGCTAGGATTATCATTATTATTATTTTAATTGTTGCTTGTCGAAATGGATGGAAATGTCTAGGGGGAGACACAGTGCGCTGGGGAAAACCATGGCAAAAGCCGAAAGGGCCATTTTGTGCAAGAGAACGTTCCAGTTGTGCGTGCAAAGTGCTGGAACCCACGATGTGACAGTGTGGTTCTGGCCTGCTTCGTATTTGCGGGCAGCCTCTCATTTTGAAAGGAGTTGGGTTCCAAAAGCTGAGGTGGAGGGCTGTCACCCGGAATGTCCATGGCTCTATCTCATAAGAACATAAGGCATTCTCGTCCTCGCGAGGCTCCTCCCTGGTGACCCTTGGAAGTGCCCTTTGTCTCTACAGGGGCCTGGATGCCCCAAGCCCCCCCTGTCACCTCCTGTGAGCAGCCCTGAGACCGCTGGCCCCGCTCCCACTGTTCCAGCCGTACCGACTGGCTGTGCCCAGATCTTGCCCGGCCGCTCCCACCTCAGACTGTGCACTGTTCCCGCCACCTGCCGCGGCGGTGCCCGTCAGCCTCTGGGTGGCTCCCGGCCTCCTTCCCCGGGGAGGTCTTCTCTGACCACAGTCATCGCAACCTGCACGCCGGGCCCCCCTGGCTGCTCCGTCTTCCCTGTTCTCCGCAGCCCTCGCCTTCCCCGGCGCCAGGGGACACACTCGCTGCCTCTGCGTGCTGCCGGTCTCTCCCACCGGACGCTGGGCCGCCACGGCCAGAAACCTGTCTATTGCATTCCCCGCCCATTCCCAGCTCCCAGAACAAGCCCAGAGTGGGAGCCCCATACATTTTCCTGGGTGAATACGATTGTCAAGAAGGACTGTAGTGACCACTTGGCAGCGGCAGCCTTGGAGTCGAGGCGCCCAGCTGCGCGGCCGCGAGCAAATGGCTCGCCCCAGGTGCGTCTGCTCACCTGGGCTGCGCGACATGCGTCCCGCTGGCCCCACAGCCCCGCCCGGACGAGCAAACCAAACCCGCCTGTAAAGGGCTTTGACACGTGCCCTCTCTGAGCCATGGGTTTTCATCTGTAAAATCAGAGTGCCATATCAGCTATTCTTTAGGATCAGTTAGTCTTCTTAAGGCCCATGGTAATGATGGAGACAAACACCCGAGCCTCTTTTATGTCGCCTGGTACTTGCAACGACGACTGCTCAGAGGTGCTGACTGGCGCTTCTGTTCCGAAGCCTTGGTCTCTTGTGCCTGATGGTGCACGAGAATTCTGCCCCGCCCTCCGCTGGGGCTCCCTGTGCCGCACACTCCCCGGTGTCTGCCCAGGGCTCCCCGGGTATGCACCGGGGTAAGTTGGATGTCTGCTATGCTCTGGTTTTCCTCCCATCCACTAGGTTGTGATGATGAGGGGCTGCTCAGAGCCTCCCAGAGAAGGACTGAGGCATCCCGCCACCCACAGTACTGGGAGGCTCTGCCATGGTTCCTGCATCCATAGTGGGATGAATTCTTTGGTGATGGATTCTCCAAGGATGGGGGAAAGAGCTCGTGGAGTGTGGTGGAGCCATCCGGACCCTCTACCAGGGCCTCAAGGCAGAATCGTGCCCATAAGCCCATATTCCCCTTTGAGCTCCTCGCGTGCCGTGCCGTGGCTGAGTCATCCTCAGAAAGAAGAAAAGGCTTCCTCCCTCCCCCGAGCTCCCCTCGTTACCTGGAATGCCCTTGAGGTGTCCCCCCGTCTGCTCCCTACCTTCTGGGTGTCTCTCAGTTTTCATGTCTGTATTGTAGCCTTCGCATATACCAAAATTTAAATTTCTAAGATTTATTTTAAATTCCCTATCCGTATGTCAAGCAGACTTTCCTTTATACATCCTGAAATCATCTTTGAAATTTTAGACAAGGGCAGATGTCGCTTAATGTGACCGGCAAGTGTTCCACTCGCTGTTTGTTGTGTGTGGTCGTTGTTTTTCCCTCTTGCTTCTTTTTTTTCCCCCTCCTCTTTAGAAATCACCATCACACTATAAAACCAATTAAAACAAACTTTCGAAAGACTCTTATTTCCAGGCTGAGCTATTCCAACCTCTGACTTTTTCTGAAGCACAAGATAAGACTTTCTGATTAACTGGGGGTGGGATGTTTATCCAAGCTGTTCGTTTTATACATTATGGATACTGCTTTTTAATTTTTATGCCATGTCAGTGGCATATACTTTCTGAAATTAATAAATACAATACATACCATCAATGTGTGAAATTTTAAAAAACCCGTATTTCCATAGTTTGACATACAAAAATGTACTCACACACTTCTGAAATCTACTGTCAAATCATTTCACATCTGTACCTAAAGCAAACAGACATAATGCTAACAGCTTGTTAGAATTCAGAAATGCCACCCGCTAATCAGCCCACCTGTGGCATTCTCAGTCCATCTTGCAAGCTGCATAGTCTGTTGCCAAGAAGCTTGACAAGAAAATGTATATTAAATTATTGAATAAGATTGGAAATATTGTACAGTGTGGGATAAAGAGAATGCGCAACGTGTGGCCAATGAACATGCTGTACCTTTTCACTATAATGCCTGCCTGGAGGTGACCTCGCTTCATTCCCATGTGCCATAAATTATGAAGCTACCGCTAAGTCCCTGGATGCAAAGTCGGCAGCGAGCTTTCCATTGTTCCCATCAGGTTTTGTTATGTGTAGTTGGCGTTGGCTAAAACAAAAACCAAGGGGGGGACAAAACCCAGAAAGCAAATTTTGAACAGAGTTTGACAGAAACAACCCCATTTTCATACAGTCCCATCCTGCGTGCAGTTCAGAGTAGAACAAAGAAGATTTCCTGACATTCCTGACATTCCTTAGAAACCACAGTAGCGGTGATGCCAACCGAATGCAATCATTAGGTATTATTTAAAATCCTAGAAAAATGATCTTTTGATCTTTCTTAGCAAAAAACGTCAAATAAAATGCAAAGGTGAAATAAAGCTATTAAGATCACGGAGAAGAATGGGCCAGCAGACCGTGCGGCAAACCATGGGTGCCCTCTGCCCACGCCTGCAAGCTTGTGAAATCGGTGTAAGCGTGACATTGCACAATATGATTACATTTCTACAAATTATTAGTTTCTATAGAATGTAAACTGACGTGCTCGCAGAAGTATCTTGTCTGGGGGGGGGGTCTGTGAGTAAGAAATGTGATTTTAGCATCTGTTCTTTTAAGGCTATTTGCTCTGGGAAGGCAGTGTGTTTTGCCATAAATTTAGGTCATTAATTTGTATCTGTTCTTTGTTTATTTAAGAAACAGGACAAAAGGGCAGCTGCTGAAACATTTGGCTGGGCCGAGGGGTAGTGGGCTCGACATGCTGGAGTTCTGCACATGACCAGCTTGAGTTTGTATCCACAGCTACAGGACAGAACTTTATGGAAACACTTTGCCAAGCCATGTGGTGCTCGGCTTCCCTTTGCATCAATACCCTTTTAATTACCTGATCCTGAGGGGGAAAAAGTTAGAGAAAAGTGTCAGTGCAAAAGCCTAGGAACCTGCCGAGAATCAGATTATTTTTTAAAAAACAAATCATCGTGATAAAATGTCTGGCAATTATTCTACAGCACGTCTATATAAACCCTGAGACTGGTCTGCAAAGGTAACACTATGACCTATATAATTTGATATTTATAAACTGAAGCACAATAATATCTTGTAAATTGATTGTTAACAACATTTAATGCTCTAAAATTGGCCATTAAGCAAAGAATCATTTGAAAGGCATTATTGTTATTATGAAGCATTACAGAGGTTTTATTTATTATCATAAACCTAATGGACTCAGTAAATTAGGTGTATTTAAAAAGGTCATTTGCTGCTTCTTGATACTGAATTCTAAGCTCTTTAATTCAAATGCATCACAAAACATAGCAGTATTTTCAAGGACAGTCCAGATTTAAGCTGTTTAAAATAAACAACATGGACATATAATTCCTTAAATTTGAAAAAAAAATAACAATAATAATGTGACAAGAAAGATTAGGACTGTTTGAAAGGCTATATTTGAAAATTATAAATTTTCTATGCAAAACTACATATTAGGAACAAAAGAAACAAAGTGAAATTCATCATAGGTCAATTTTAAATGACAAAGAAAAATTTTTGCCTAGAATCCTATTTCTTGTGGATGAACTATGATGCCGCTTTGCATTTCTTTTCTAGAAAATCCCTCACAGTGAGAGGGTGTGGTCACTTTTCAAATCTCAGGCGTGTGCTTGTCTCAGCCTGGGGCCTTGTCCTCACAAGCTGCCTGCCGGTGTTGATGGGTTTGTTGAATGCATAGTGGAAATTAAATATTGATCTGAATAGAGATTTAAAAAAAATTTTTTTTTCTGTTGAATGTATTTTCATGCAAGCGAAAAGGTTTTTTTTGGGTATTTTTCCTTTTTTCAGATGCTCTCTTTTGAAGAAGTCAGAACTGAAAATTTGGTTAGAACTCAGGACTGCTCTTCTAGTGCACAATCACACTCCAAGGCCCTTCCCTGGAACACTCTGGAAGTCTGAGGAACCTGCAGGCACTTGTGGTTGCTGAAGCCCTCCTCTTAGCAGCAGACAGCAGGCAGTCCTCTTGCCCGGGCGGGCTGCCTTCAGAGACAAAAATGGGAGAAAGACCCTTCGGTAAGACCTGTCTTTCACATCCTCTTACATGGTCCTTGGATTCACCATTAGGGTCACATGCAGGTCCCTAAAGTCTTGCTCTCCGAAAAAACGTGAACTTGGATCAAGGAAGGGATGTGTTGTTTTCCATCTTTGCATTGTTTTGTGCTCAGGTGTTATAGAGAAAAATGTGAGAAGTGTCAAACCTCACGATTTGTAGGGATAACTGAAAAGATTTTTCCCAATGTTGGTGGAAAAAGAAAGAAAAACAAAATCAATTAGATGTGAGATCACATCAGATTTATTATACTCTGAGACTGTGTTTAGTGAAGACAACACAGGAAAGATGCTTTCTGACTATGTACATACCAGTAGCTTGTACTACACATGTACTATCTTAAGTTCATTAACAAACAAAAATTGGATGGCTTCCAAACCAGTATCACCTACTATAAGGTGAAGAAATACACTAGATATTATAATAGCTAATACTATCTACAAAATAAAATAATTTTTAAAAGTCCTATCAGGGACTTTGGTGTACCAAGTTGAATACCTAGACTCATCCTGTAGGTAGTCTTAGATTAATTTAAAACCACCTTTTTGATAAAATAAAGGAAATCGAATTGAAATTATTCTGAAACAAAGGGGGACATCCTCAGAATTTAACTGTCTTAAGGAAACTGACCACCATTTCACCACTGAGCTGGTCATAGAACACTTTGTGTTTGTCCCATCCGGCCATTATGTTTCAATTCTATTCATCTCCCGATGCTTTTCTTTTTGTCTGACCCAACCAGACTCCCTTATTCTCCCACACTCTTCCCTACTCCCCAAGGGTTTAATGAATTTAAAAAGCACACACACATAGAAAGATGCTAGATTCCCACCCCACCCCCAGCATAGACAAAAGGAATTTATCTAGTTCTTTATTGGGCTCTTGATGGCTATAAAGAAAAGATATTTTATATGTTATATGTACAAAGATAATATCATTTTATATGAGATAGAGATGATCTGAGCTTCTCTTCTTCTACCTAGAGCTCTTCTTCCATTCTCCAGTCTTGCTCATTTTTCAATTCTACCCCACCATCCCTTCACTGCCGAAGTTCCTCAACTTTTCTGTCTTTTTCTCCCTCACCCAGTTCAGATGCTCCCCATCTGATCATTTCCCCCAGGGTGGCTGTGGCCTTTGGGGTGCAATCTAGGTGTTAAGGGAATGATTATTCACTGTGATCTCCAAGCATGAAAGCCCTCTTCTCCTTATAGAGGCTCTACTCCCTAGAGAATAGTTTGGCAGCATTTTGTTCAAAGTGGATTAAAAAATGCATCACACTTTAAAAAAAAAAAACCCACATGGCATCTCTCCGGAGACTTCCGATGCAGGTTCCATTTCTGTCAAAAGAAGATGCAATGTTGTAGTTGAAAAAGCATCGAACTGGGGACTCAGGAGACCGCCCTTGCTGGCTTGGCTCTGCTAATTGCTAACTGGGGATCTCGTACAAGTCACCTGCCTCCCTCGGGTTCCCAGCGTAAAGCTAGAGGTTGGGACCAGTGAACACCCAACATCCTTCCAGCCTTGATAGATCCTCTCTGACTCTAGGGTATGGGACCCTGAGACTTTGAAAACAGCCTTTCTCCAAAACTAAAATTTCATGCTTGGGGGTAGGTAACTCAGGCTCTACCCTTCTGGTATTTTATCTGAAAAACACAGTAATTCACAGTAATTTTGCCCCATTTGCCAAGGTTTCTCTAGGAAGAACATGTAATAATCATTTAAAGTACAATTTCCCTTCAGAAATAGATTTTTCTGAAAGTTTCAAACCAATATTCTTCCTATTTTGGCAACGCCTATATAGTTAGAGGCAATAGATTGGAAAAAAGGTCAACCTTGAAATTTTTTCTGCTTTATTGGTGAACACCACAAAGTTCAAGGCTTATTCTGAGAAACCACTCCAAAAATGAATTTTTTTCTTTTGGACTCTATAGCTACAGGTAGATCAACCCATAATCCTTTCCTTCTATTTATCCATCTACAGACTTACATACATACATTTTATGCCATTTAAAAAATATAATTAAGAAACTTCCTTTTCATCATGTTTCAATAAATATCCCATAGTACTTTGTTTGTGCTAATAAGATTTTAATCATTGGGATGCATTTCAGACATACTTGAAAATCTATAGAGCTTTTAGAACCAAAGAATGAGTGAAATGGCCTCATGTTTGCATGAAGAAAGGAGAGAAAAGAAGAGAGAGGGAGGGGGAAAGTAAGGAAAGACAGGCGTGGCTGATTGCTCTCAGACACATTTGTGCAGGTGCGAGCCAGAGCCAGGGTCCCCGTGTGGGAGACAGGCTCCCCCAGTACCGCCGAACTTGGATACTGCAGGAACGTCAGCAATATGGGGAGGTAAGGTGCTTTCCCAGCACACTAAAAGTATTGTGCTGCAGTTGTGTGAAGTAGCCTAGAGAGTCTTATAAAAATATCGCTGGGTAGCTGACGCTTTGGAAAGTAGAAGTGTAATTGAGGCCAGTGATTCCCCCAGCCCAGCCCAGCACACACCAGCACACCCTCTCTGAGCGAAGCCCTCTCTGCGATGCGGGTGTGAGCCACGCTTTCCCCAACACAAAGGACGCCTGTGACTGTGTCCCTAAGTCTCTCTCTTCTTGCATCCGTTAACCTGCCCACACTTCTGAGTGCTCCCTGCCCAGTCAGGACCTGGCCCAAAGTCAGGCTGCGCACAGCGATGCATCTCCCCTTCTTCCTGAACACCATCTCGTGGGACCATGCTCCTGCCGTAGCGACCCATTCTTTGCACCTTGCATTTTGGATGATGTCCTATTAATAGTCTCTTCTCTCAAGGCCCTTATTTTACCTTTTCACCACTTGATTTGGGAAGGAACACTCTCTCATCTTTCCCTTCCCTAGTAGGTTAAAGAAATTGTTAACACTTTTCAATAAATAAATCAAACATTTGCTTTAAATAATAAATAAAACAAACACTAGACTTATCCTAGAAAGCCCAAATATTCGTCTGCAAGTAAAATTCATTATGGGTAAGATGTCTCTTGGGTCATTTTAACCTCTGTCCACTTCAAGTTTTCCAAGGTACTGTTGGTGCTTATAATAATATTAGGAAGTGCTTCAGGTAACCAAAAGAATCAGGCTTGATGTGAAACAATATTAAATTTCAACCTAGATATTGCATGGATTTTGAAGAAACATGGAGGAGTCCAACTTTCCAGCCCATGGCAAATCTCTAGATTTGATAATCAAGTAGATAAATTATGTAAGTGATATTATACTAACATCTGCTGAGGTCTTGTCTTGTACTAGGCAATGGAGAAAGCATTTCTGTGCACTGTCTCACTGAATTTTTTCAATAAACTTCTGTGGAAGGAGTTATTAGTTCTACTTTTGGCAGCAACTCGCCCATAATCAGATAGCTAGGAAAGTCACAGTCACAAAAGGACCCAGGCCTGACGCCTAAAATAGTATCACTTTGCTAAACACGAAAATATTTCATTCAGATTTCGTGAAGTAGTTAATCGTGGAGTATAGACTTAGAAGCAAACGGGAGCATTTGCTCAGGACATTGGGGAAAGATGAGGTCATGTGAAGAGGAGAGAGCTGGAGGGCCATGTGGTTCTAGTCTTCATGGGCACCATGGTCTCATGCAGGGGATAGGAACATACTATTCTTAAGCTGTTCCATAGAGGGGAATACATGGATATTTGTTGGAATATGAAGGATTCAGTTTAGATATATAAAATATTTTCCACATAGAGAGTTGGTAGACACAGGAGTGTGTCTTTGAGGAATATGACAGAATCTGTTTCACTGGAGCCTGTTAAAATGTAGGATAGATTTTCCTTTGAATGGAAGTGGAGAACACCCACAGAAAGAATTTGGGACTCTTTCCCTCTGAGACTTTGGTGCCATCATATAATCCTTACTAGTCTCCTGGCATTACACTCTTTTAGCAACAAGTTGTTTGAGATCATGGTGGCCAAATGTTTGCAGACCCCAGAAAGAAAAGCTGAAGAGTGAAAATTTAATGAGATTCCATTGTTCTGAACCTGAAGATTCCAGTTTAGATGAGGAGTGAGTGCTGAAGGGAAGGGCACGCATCTAGTTAGGGATTTTATCCCTATTTAGTATTTGTGAATCAAACACAATTAGATCCATCTCTTTCCTGCTCTGGAGGTGCAAGACTCTGTCCTGTAAAGCCATTGAAAGGAGGGGAAAAAAATCTCCCTTTTTATATCTCCTATAGGGGAGACAAATTTTTCCTTCATTTGTGAGCCCTTAAATTTGTAGCTCATTGCTAATTTGAGTGCTAAAGAAACAAAATAATAGATTTTTGAAACAATGAAGGTTCCTAATCTTTACTTTTAAAAGTTGTTAACCATTAATCCAAGGGAAAAATCTCTTTGCATGTGGCAGTTGAAGCAGGCATTCATGATGTGCTTTAATTAGTGATTCATCACAGCTCTGGGTTCTTGGGGAAGAGATAGGAGGTCTGGGGAGATCACATCAGTGATAAACGAGTCGATGGGAAGTTAAGAATTTTGAATTGAAACTCTGATCCATGGATTTTGGTGATTTCTTAAGGCTCCGATGGCATGCTGTCACCAGAGGCATCATTATTTTGACACTCCTAAATGTGGGAAGGTCTGGGGAAATCTGGTGGGCTGGAAACTGCTTGCGGACTAGTAGCTTTTATAAATAATTTACTGGGAAAGATTATCATGATCTTTTTTCCTTTACTTTTAATCATAGAAAACATTATTTCTTGTGTGCCATTAAATGCAATCATCTTTTTTTTTTTAAGAAACAACAACAATTTCCTAACAACCAAAACATACTTCTGCACACTATTTTAAGAGAAATATACATGAGCTATGGATTTGAACAAGATCCATTTTTAATCCAGATTATAAATTCAATAGCAGTTTAAGAGTGTTTGCTTTTTATTTCAGTGCTCAACCCTCCATTACATGCCTTGGACTTTCTTC